TTCCGCGGTACTGCTAACAAGGTGAATGTGTACGGGCGCTGCACAGTGTCGGGCTCGAGGCCAAAATCGTTGAGAACGTGAGCTCAAGCAGCAAGTCTGGCTGGCCGAGAAAAGGGAAGGGAGCGAAACGGTCCCCTCGTATGTCAAGCCATGCAGTCCAACCCGAGCTACAGTCAGACTGTAGAGGTCACTCCGCGAAGGCTCACTCGCATAGTGATGGCGGTTCGATTGCACACCTTCGCGAGATGCGCGTGAGGGAACGGTGCGAACTTGAAAGAATCTCACGCGCAATTTACTCTTGGGCACCACCATCTGGAATTTTGTGCCAACGTTACTTGGTGCATTGTGCGCAATTGTCGCCGAGTATCCTGAAGTCTGAACACCGCACGCTTCGCTCAATCTACTCTTGTCTATACTACCCCTGTCCAATAATGTCGTTCGCGGTCTTTCGCGTTCCATTTTTCGCCGCATCCTTCTCTCTCTGTATCTCTGCAGCCTTGGTCGTAGGCTTCCTGATTTTCAGTCAATCCATGCTCTTTGTCCGCGGATGATGCTAGCACTCACTTGATCCGCTTTCCTGTGTTGTCGCTCGACTTTACTGCTGGTGCCTTGTACGGACCGGCTTGAACGGCCAACACCGATAACACGTCGGCGAAGTCCCGCGCGAGCTTGTTCCACTCTGTCTTCTCTGAGTCCGCGTCCCTCTCTATCTCTGCACCCCAACACAACAGTGTGAGCACCAGCAATCTCGCCCCATGTGCACCTGCAGGTAACCGTCCCTCCCAATCCATAGAGCTATCGGCTGCACGTATGAGAACTCCTTCTTTGTCGCGTCGACAGTCGGCCTGTTGATATGCCCATTGTCGTGTCAAGGAGTGGCCCACGTCAAGATCCATTCGAGCTGCACTGCGTTTTATACCGGGCAACGTTCTCTTGTGCCATGTCATTCTGGCCGGATCTTTCCTCAGGGACTGGGAGACCGTATACGCCGGAAGTGCCTCTCCATTTACCTTGTACCTATCCAGGTCTAGCACACCATCGGCCTATGTCGTGTCAGCATATGACATCGCCATATGTGCCAATGTACTCACTGTCTTGCTTAACTCCAGTCTCATATACGCATGTACCACCATACAGCCGAGTCCGACGTCAACTCTCCCCTCCAGCTTCGTTGGGACAGAACCCAGGAATGCGGTCATCCCATACGACGCAAACCACGGCTTTCGCTCCTCAAGTATACGACCATCGCGAGAACACCGCTCTCCAAATTCCTAAGATTATCTCCGTCAACGCGTGTGCGCCCTGCGTTCAGAAGAGTACTCACCTTTCTATCCCATGCCCATGTATCGAGCGGGCTTGGTACGAACGCCCATAAGGATTGGCTGGTTCCTACGGAACTGTCCGGGAGCGATCTCTTGTCCTTCTCTTCTTCAGCACTCTCGGCAAAGGTATTGCTATCACTCGTAGCGGCATTGGACGACGGCACGGTACTTCTGAAGCCTCCAAGCGAGCTCGCCTCCGAGCGCTCCGTGACGACATTGACCTGTTCGAAAGATGTATGGGCCGCGGAGACAGTCACCTCAGGCACAGCAGTAGTTTGCTTCCGGCCCGTTGGTTTTGGTCGCGGTCTTGGTCGAGAACGTACCGATGGACTATGCGCTCGAGGTAGCCCGTCGGTCATCATGCCATCCATGTTGATGTAGGTGCCAGTATCTTGCTGATTATGCTCGTCTGGCACTGCCTGATACGGTGTCGTTGCTGACACAACCCTCTCGACGTCCACAACTTGGACCACGCTCTCTTGTACTAGGCACTCCACTTCTGGCTGCTGCACGCTCGGGTCCTCGCAGTGAGCAATCTGGAGCCCGCTGTTCCCGGGCGTCGGGATGCTCATGCTCAGGATGTGCGGTGCCGGTGGTGGTGCCGGATCGAGATCAGGAAAGAGCGTGGAAGCGACATTGCCGGAAGAGTCAACAGTCTCTAAGAGCGTGTCGAGCATCGGTGGCGGACCAGCGAAAGGCTCTGTGGCGTTGGGGCACTCTCCCGCATCACGGGAAGCCTGCATGATCCCCGGGGTATTGTCTGAAACGCGTACGCCCCATCTCGCCTCTGAAGGTGTGGCCTATTAGCGCTGACTTCACTTTCGAAGTGTCGCAACTCACCGGTAACGAGGCACGCTTGGGTGTGTATGCGCTTGGCGATGCCCTCCAGCAAGACCTTCTCCACCGGGAGATCGCTGTACAGCATCTTGGGTTTTCCAGGAACATCGCAGGTCCCTTGCGATCTACACCAAAACCAAATGTCAGAATGCCCCTCTTCATGAATGCGTTGCGTCCATCACTGACACTGACACCTTCCCTCCGCCAGACAGGATCATGACCGCCATACCGCCGCATCGTTCCGCAAAGAAGTGCATAAGATCTTCGAGGAAGGCTTGAGATGCTACCAAAAACCTGAGAGGAGTGTCAGTAGCAGCTTCCTTCTGGATGCATCGCGCTCACTGGGCCGCCTCCTCAACGGACTGGGGTTCCGCAAGACCCTTCTTCCACTCCTCTGTCTGCTCGTCCAGGATTCTCTGAGCCTCGTCTGTCGCCTCTTTCTTCTCTTCGTCGCTAGCGGCATTGTACAGCTCAGAAGCCACGGTGTTCCACAGTCCAAGGCGTCCGTACTCGGGGTTATCCTTCTGCTTCCTCACTTCGGGCAGCCGTCGTTCGATTTCCGCTTCCAGCTCAGGCCGTGGCTTTGACGTCGCCCATACTTTGTATAGCTGTCGTAAAGATGGTTGCTTCATGTACGCATGTAGTATGCTTGCGACGTCGCCCGATTTGCTTTTAACGGCAGAAGGTTTCGAAGGGTCGATGTGGCGCGATTGAAAGCGAGTCAATATTAGCTGAAGGTGTGCTCAGCCATCCGTTATGAAGTAACGATGAGACAGATGCCTCACCCTGCGTACTTTCTTTACGAGCTTGTCGATATCTTGCTGCTTCGCACTGGCGGAACCTTTCTTTACCGCCTTTGAGGCTGCCACCGCCTCTTCGTCGTGTTTATCCACAGTCGCCTCATCCGGTTGAGCAATGTCCGGAGGCACAGACCTTTCCGGGTTCTCCCACCCGAATCTCGCGAAAAACCTGACAACCTCCCTGTTGACATACTTCGTTATGGCGCGCTGACCTTTCCGAGGGTCCCGGCGTATCATGTCATATCCGCCTTGACCACTGTCGACGTGGACACATTGCACTACACCGAGATCGGTGGGGCGTCCCATGGGATTCCCAGTTTTCCCAGTCTCAGGTCTCGTCACGTGTAGTTCCGGTTCGGGCATAGTACCAGATAGACAAAAGCGGGGATGAGGGTGAGTAAAAAGACGCTCATGAAGCTAGATATACTCTCTATGCTACTGCGCTGTAGAATTTGCAATTGCCGCTTGCGGTTGCTCTCATCCGAGACGATTCGATCTCATATCCGCGACTCTACGCGAATGGGCGAAGGCATGTAATTCCTACGTCGGATGTGCCATAATCGATTGCCGCGCCAGCATATGCGGTGGTTAACGCAATCCATTTCACAGACATTGAAGAGCAAGATCTGAATAGTTCGACGGAATTCACAGACCGCACGCGGCTTTCATGCCCATCCGCACGTAGCAACGGCGATGATAGACTGTTTCAGAGGGCACGTAGCGAGTGCCGAAATGAGGTCCCCAACGGTTTCGCAGTTTGTTTGCCGAGATGACCAAAGAGCAAGGATGGAGTCGCACTGGTCGTCGTTGAGTCAACTGTTAGAGAATGATGCATTCAAGCGACGGCTCCCTGCGCCACATAGTATTATGTGGTCTCCAGCCGACGTGTTCATTCATGTAACCTCACAAACATTCTACTGAACACAAGCTGCGTGACTAGCGTTGAGCAATCTCTGGGTTGAGGAAGAATTCTTGGCAGCCGCACTCCCGATTCCGCGGCAGCATGACAAGACCATTGCCACAGCTCCTCGAGAAGGGATGAGCGGGGAGAGGGTGAGGCTCTGGGAGCCCCGGATGGCGTAGATTTTCCATACCATCGGCAGTAAAAGCCTCCTTTGTGGTACGAGCTTCCTATACTGCAGCACATAGATGTGTGGTCCCGAAGTCCAAGCCCCCTCCTGATCCTCTCGTCGACAAACGGCGATCTCGTCGTTACGATAAGAACAAGAGAACATGACTGGCGTGAGGAATGAGAGCTGTTGCCCTAGAGAGATGCAAACTCACTGATCTCTCATCAAGAGCAGGCAACTTCTTACTTCGTTGTTCACTCGCAACTACTCTCCGGAGAGCATGCGGAGGCGATGTTGTACGTGCTGCATTTGCACGGCCGACCCATGTTTTCTGGGAAGTAGACAAAGACAAACCGTAGTGATAATATGGGAATTGGGGAGAAGACGGCGTGGGTGACATTTCCGAACTCTCGGGGTTATACTTGAGCCTGCGGGTATGACACGCCTTGACGATGCGAGGGGGGACGGCAGAGAAGTCGAGCGCGGGAGGGCCCGCCAGACGTAGAGTTCCGATAGCTAAATAGCGACCAGCTCTGGCGGTCCAAACGCGTCAAACATTGAATTAGATTTAGGACGCGGTTTTGACTTACCATTTACGAGAAGTCGCGGCGAGGCCCGCCTTCCCCGAGCCTCCCGCGCTTCCTCCCGCCCGTCCCGCCCACCCCTTTGGCCCTATCGCGTACTATACGCGCTAGGCTGCCGAACGAAGCCCGTCAAGGCGCAGAAGGGAAGGGGAGGAGGGACAAGGAGCGGCGTCAGCGCGGCGACCAGCGCCGCGTGTTCGGCTGACGCGGCCACGTGTTTTGCCGCGTGTGTCGCAA